GCACAGACTCACATCCTGTCGCCCAGCAGCGCGGCGCTGAAGGCGGCCAGCACGCAGCACCACGCCAGCCGCAGCTTGGCCTCTTATCGCGTGGCTGATAGTGTGATGATATAGATGCACAGACTCACATCCTGTCGCCCAGCAGCGCGGCGCTGAAGGCGGCCAGCACGCAGCACCACGCCAGCCGCAGCTTGGCCTCTTATCGCGTGGCTGATAGTGTGATGATATAGATGCACAGACTCACATCCTGTCGCCCAGCAGCGCGGCGCTGAAGGCGGCCAGCACGCAGCACCACGCCAGCCGCAGCTTGGCCTCTTATCGCGTGGCTGATAGTGTGATGATATAGATGCACAGACTCACATCCTGTCGCCCAGCAGCGCGGCGCTGAAGGCGGCCAGCACGCAGCACCACGCCAGCCGCAGCTTGGCCTCTTATCGCGTGGCTGATAGTGTGATGATATAGATGCACAGACTCACATCCTGTCGCCCAGCAGCGCGGCGCTGAAGGCGGCCAGCACGCAGCACCACGCCAGCCGCAGCTTGGCCTCTTATCGCGTGGCTGATAGTGTGATGATATAGATGCACAGACTCACATCCTGTCGCCCAGCAGCGCGGCGCTGAAGGCGGCCAGCACGCAGCACCACGCCAGCCGCAGCTTGGCCTCTTATCGCGTGGCTGATAGTGTGATGATATAGATGCACAGACTCACATCCTGTCGCCCAGCAGCGCGGCGCTGAAGGCGGCCAGCACGCAGCACCACGCCAGCCGCAGCTTGGCCTCTTATCGCGTGGCTGATAGTGTGATGATATAGATGCACAGACTCACATCCTGTCGCCCAGCAGCGCGGCGCTGAAGGCGGCCAGCACGCAGCACCACGCCAGCCGCAGCTTGGCCTCTTATCGCGTGGCTGATAGTGTGATGATATAGATGCACAGACTCACATCCTGTCGCCCAGCAGCGCGGCGCTGAAGGCGGCCAGCACGCAGCACCACGCCAGCCGCAGCTTGGCCTCTTATCGCGTGGCTGATAGTGTGATGATATAGATGCACAGACTCACATCCTGTCGCCCAGCAGCGCGGCGCTGAAGGCGGCCAGCACGCAGCACCACGCCAGCCGCAGCTTGGCCTCTTATCGCGTGGCTGATAGTGTGATGATATAGATGCACAGACTCACATCCTGTCGCCCAGCAGCGCGGCGCTGAAGGCGGCCAGCACGCAGCACCACGCCAGCCGCAGCTTGGCCTCTTATCGCGTGGCTGATAGTGTGATGATATAGATGCACAGACTCACATCCTGTCGCCCAGCAGCGCGGCGCTGAAGGCGGCCAGCACGCAGCACCACGCCAGCCGCAGCTTGGCCTCTTATCGCGTGGCTGATAGTGTGATGATATAGATGCACAGACTCACATCCTGTCGCCCAGCAGCGCGGCGCTGAAGGCGGCCAGCACGCAGCACCACGCCAGCCGCAGCTTGGCCTCTTATCGCGTGGCTGATAGTGTGATGATATAGATGCACAGACTCACATCCTGTCGCCCAGCAGCGCGGCGCTGAAGGCGGCCAGCACGCAGCACCACGCCAGCCGCAGCTTGGCCTCTTATCGCGTGGCTGATAGTGTGATGATATAGATGCACAGACTCACATCCTGTCGCCCAGCAGCGCGGCGCTGAAGGCGGCCAGCACGCAGCACCACGCCAGCCGCAGCTTGGCCTCTTATCGCGTGGCTGATAGTGTGATGATATAGATGCACAGACTCACATCCTGTCGCCCAGCAGCGCGGCGCTGAAGGCGGCCAGCACGCAGCACCACGCCAGCCGCAGCTTGGCCTCTTATCGCGTGGCTGATAGTGTGATGATATAGATGCACAGACTCACATCCTGTCGCCCAGCAGCGCGGCGCTGAAGGCGGCCAGCACGCAGCACCACGCCAGCCGCAGCTTGGCCTCTTATCGCGTGGCTGATAGTGTGATGATATAGATGCACAGACTCACATCCTGTCGCCCAGCAGCGCGGCGCTGAAGGCGGCCAGCACGCAGCACCACGCCAGCCGCAGCTTGGCCTCTTATCGCGTGGCTGATAGTGTGATGATATAGATGCACAGACTCACATCCTGTCGCCCAGCAGCGCGGCGCTGAAGGCGGCCAGCACGCAGCACCACGCCAGCCGCAGCTTGGCCTCTTATCGCGTGGCTGATAGTGTGATGATATAGATGCACAGACTCACATCCTGTCGCCCAGCAGCGCGGCGCTGAAGGCGGCCAGCACGCAGCACCACGCCAGCCGCAGCTTGGCCTCTTATCGCGTGGCTGATAGTGTGATGATATAGATGCACAGACTCACATCCTGTCGCCCAGCAGCGCGGCGCTGAAGGCGGCCAGCACGCAGCACCACGCCAGCCGCAGCTTGGCCTCTTATCGCGTGGCTGATAGTGTGATGATATAGATGCACAGACTCACATCCTGTCGCCCAGCAGCGCGGCGCTGAAGGCGGCCAGCACGCAGCACCACGCCAGCCGCAGCTTGGCCTCTTATCGCGTGGCTGATAGTGTGATGATATAGATGCACAGACTCACATCCTGTCGCCCAGCAGCGCGGCGCTGAAGGCGGCCAGCACGCAGCACCACGCCAGCCGCAGCTTGGCCTCTTATCGCGTGGCTGATAGTGTGATGATATAGATGCACAGACTCACATCCTGTCGCCCAGCAGCGCGGCGCTGAAGGCGGCCAGCACGCAGCACCACGCCAGCCGCAGCTTGGCCTCTTATCGCGTGGCTGATAGTGTGATGATATAGATGCACAGACTCACATCCTGTCGCCCAGCAGCGCGGCGCTGAAGGCGGCCAGCACGCAGCACCACGCCAGCCGCAGCTTGGCCTCTTATCGCGTGGGTGATAGTGTGATGATATAGATGCACAGACTCACATCCTGTCGCCCAGCAGCGCGGCGCTGAAGGCGGCCAGCACGCAGCACCACGCCAGCCGCAGCTTGGCCTCTTATCGCGTGGCTGATAGTGTGATGATATAGATGCACAGACTCACATCCTGTCGCCCAGCAGCGCGGCGCTGAAGGCGGCCAGCACGCAGCACCACGCCAGCCGCAGCTTGGCCTCTTATCGCGTGGCTGATAGTGTGATGATATAGATGCACAGACTCACATCCTGTCGCCCAGCAGCGCGGCGCTGAAGGCGGCCAGCACGCAGCACCACGCCAGCCGCAGCTTGGCCTCTTATCGCGTGGCTGATAGTGTGATGATATAGATGCACAGACTCACATCCTGTCGCCCAGCAGCGCGGCGCTGAAGGCGGCCAGCACGCAGCACCACGCCAGCCGCAGCTTGGCCTCTTATCGCGTGGCTGATAGTGTGATGATATAGATGCACAGACTCACATCCTGTCGCCCAGCAGCGCGGCGCTGAAGGCGGCCAGCACGCAGCACCACGCCAGCCGCAGCTTGGCCTCTTATCGCGGGGCTGATAGTGTGATGATATAGATGCACAGACTCACATCCTGTCGCCCAGCAGCGCGGCGCTGAAGGCGGCCAGCACGCAGCACCACGCCAGCCGCAGCTTGGCCTCTTATCGCGTGGCTGATAGTGTGATGATATAGATGCACAGACTCACATCCTGTCGCCCAGCAGCGCGGCGCTGAAGGCGGCCAGCACGCAGCACCACGCCAGCCGCAGCTTGGCCTCTTATCGCGTGGGTGATAGTGTGATGATATAGATGCACAGACTCACATCCTGTCGCCCAGCAGCGCGGCGCTGAAGGCGGCCAGCACGCAGCACCACGCCAGCCGCAGCTTGGCCTCTTATCGCGTGGCTGATAGTGTGATGATATAGATGCACAGACTCACATCCTGTCGCCCAGCAGCGCGGCGCTGAAGGCGGCCAGCACGCAGCACCACGCCAGCCGCAGCTTGGCCTCTTATCGCGTGGCTGATAGTGTGATGATATAGATGCACAGACTCACATCCTGTCGCCCAGCAGCGCGGCGCTGAAGGCGGCCAGCACGCAGCACCACGCCAGCCGCAGCTTGGCCTCTTATCGCGTGGCTGATAGTGTGATGATATAGATGCACAGACTCACATCCTGTCGCCCAGCAGCGCGGCGCTGAAGGCGGCCAGCACGCAGCACCACGCCAGCCGCAGCTTGGCCTCTTATCGCGTGGCTGATAGTGTGATGATATAGATGCACAGACTCACATCCTGTCGCCCAGCAGCGCGGCGCTGAAGGCGGCCAGCACGCAGCACCACGCCAGCCGCAGCTTGGCCTCTTATCGCGTGGGTGATAGTGTGATGATATAGATGCACAGACTCACATCCTGTCGCCCAGCAGCGCGGCGCTGAAGGCGGCCAGCACGCAGCACCACGCCAGCCGCAGCTTGGCCTCTTATCGCGTGGCTGATAGTGTGATGATATAGATGCACAGACTCACATCCTGTCGCCCAGCAGCGCGGCGCTGAAGGCGGCCAGCACGCAGCACCACGCCAGCCGCAGCTTGGCCTCTTATCGCGTGGCTGATAGTGTGATGATATAGATGCACAGACTCACATCCTGTCGCCCAGCAGCGCGGCGCTGAAGGCGGCCAGCACGCAGCACCACGCCAGCCGCAGCTTGGCCTCTTATCGCGTGGCTGATAGTGTGATGATATAGATGCACAGACTCACATCCTGTCGCCCAGCAGCGCGGCGCTGAAGGCGGCCAGCACGCAGCACCACGCCAGCCGCAGCTTGGCCTCTTATCGCGTGGCTGATAGTGTGATGATATAGATGCACAGACTCACATCCTGTCGCCCAGCAGCGCGGCGCTGAAGGCGGCCAGCACGCAGCACCACGCCAGCCGCAGCTTGGCCTCTTATCGCGGGGCTGATAGTGTGATGATATAGATGCACAGACTCACATCCTGTCGCCCAGCAGCGCGGCGCTGAAGGCGGCCAGCACGCAGCACCACGCCAGCCGCAGCTTGGCCTCTTATCGCGGGGCTGATAGTGTGATGATATAGATGCACAGACTCACATCCTGTCGCCCAGCAGCGCGGCGCTGAAGGCAGCCAGCACGCAGCGCCGCGCCAGCCTCAACTTGGCCTCGGCCTTGTCGCGCCGGCTGAGCGTGAGCGCGCGCGCCGTGCTCAGCTCGCGACGTGACGGTAGCCGCACCGGGAAGGATATCGCCATACCGTCGCCCGTGGGAAACACCAGACGGAAATCTACGACAATCAGTGCACGTAGTACAGAATCCAGTGTAGAATGGTAGAGTCGTATGGAATTTTACGTTGATCATAATACACAATTATAAAAATAGGACATGGCTTTTAAATATTTATTGCTTATTTTTATGACTTTTTTAGTTATTTTTAAATTAGTTTAAGGATCAACATTATTTTACAGGGGCACTTTGTTTCTTTTAAGCTTGTCTATTTTGTGTTGCTTTTTTATTTACATTTTGTTGACATTATACATATACTTTCAGAAATATTTTACGTATCCTTACTTTGTCCTGTCGGGAACATGTTCAGAACCGAACACCTTTGCTAACACTATGATTTTAGGTAATTTCCGTCGTTAATGAATCAGTCCGGAATCATACGTCTACCGCGACACGCGAATCATCATATATCATATAATTATCATAGAATTTCATTGAGTATATTTCATTATCGAAGGACTCAGTGTTACATTTATCAATTTTATTATCGCCACTATACTGTACAGTTACTAAATAACGCATTTTTGAAAACTCAAGACTTACAGCTACAGGGCTGCAGCAGTACTGATATATATATTGTCACAAACGCTCTCAAAACAAAACTGCGAATACTAGAGACAGAATTTACCAGAACACTTCGATCGCGATAAAAGTCAAGTGGTGCGGCTCATTCTACTATGAGCCTATGCAGTGCGGCGTAAGGGAGAAAGTGAAACGACATCTGCACTTGTTTACAACTTATGCGCGTTACCTGCGTAGGTATAAGTAGGTACTATGCACTCGCGGGTGCTAGTTAACTCTTAATTTAACGGGACTTTTCTAGAATGCGTCGATTTGCGTATATAAGTGAAGCGTAACTAGTCTTAAGTTTATTCCTCGTTTAATAAGAGTGTTGATGTTTGATAGTTATAGATACATCATTGAAGCTTCTAATTTGGTAATACGAAAGTCAGGTAATTGCCAGACTTGCATTCAGTAGGGCGCTCTCTCGCCGAGGCTACACTTCGCTACAATGCGTAAATATTTTCCCGACAAAAACCCCTACGTGTGATTTTAGATAGTACACAAATCACACGGAAACTATTAGAGACAAGTAAAACGTGTCATTTAATTCCTAAGTACAGTTTTTTTAAAGAAATTAATGTAAAAATATTTAGTGATCACTTATTTTGAGAGTTGCTTACACCATTGACACGTAAAGGCTAAAGAGCGAGATGTAATATGCTTTATGCATGAGAGTGAAAGAGACTACTTTTGTGAACTCTATTGGCGGCTGTTACCAAAGGAATTTGGGGCGGGAATAGTGTTGCCAGGTCAAATTTGTTTTAAATCGGTACATGAGGTCAAAACAATCGGCAAATCAATCAATCAAAACAATATTTTTTTTTGATTAATCGGGAAATTTAGCGTCCCAATCATATCGGGACGCGTCCCCAGACCGCTGAAAATCGAGACGTCCCGCCCAAATGAAATGAAATGAAAAATTATTTATTGGCCATCATAAAAATAGTATATGACAAAAATCTCTTATCTAATAGACAAGTCCGTCCGTCCGTCCGTGGTGCTGTTTCAGCGGCCAAACCGTAAGAGATAGATATAGAGAATGTTTAAGTTATAAGTTAAGAATAGTCTGATAAGACTACAAACCGGATGTGAGTAACGTAGCACTTCCGGTTTTCGAGAAATCACGTGATTTCTATTTAAAACGAAACCACACAAAATCTCCGAAGTTCTCAATTAATTAAATAGATTTTTTTTTGGTGAACATTTGGTTCACTGGTTTGCTAGTAAAACTTAATCTGTAGATAGCCAACCAGGAGCCTGCCTCAGCATAAGCTAACATAGTGAGAAAAGAAAAAAAAAACTTCGCTCACCATGTCGGCGCTGTTATTCTGGCAGGGCCTGTGCAAGGTCGCTTTAATGGATTGTAAAACATTCAAAAACCCAGTAAGCACTAAAAACAGAACAATAAGAAAAAACCCACATCACCATACAGTACGTATCTTTATATATATAATTCTTCTGTGAGTGTGTATGTCACTGAACTTCTCTTAAACGACTGGACCGATTTTGATGAAATTTTTTGTGAGTGTTCAAGGGAATCTGAGAATGGTTTAGATTCACAATTTTGTCCGCTGGACAATGTTTTTTTAATTAAATTTTTTTATGGCGGTACGAAGTTCGCTGGACCCAGCGAGTATAATATATATTAATACTAGCTGACCCAGCGAACTTCGTACCGCCCTAAAAAAATAGGGGTTGTCCAGCGGACAAAATTGTGAATCTAAACCATTCTCAGATCCCCTTGAACACACACAAAAAATTTCATCAAAATCGGTCCAGTCGTTTAAGAGAAGTTCAGTGACATACACACTCACAGAAGAATTATATATATAAAGATAAAGAAAATTATAATTAGTCGTATACTGTAATTTATACATAAAGGACAATGGGCAAAATTGCATGGACACTGCACCCACGTCCGCCACGGCTTAAACTACATTTGTTTGAAAGGTATCATAGTCATGATCATTTGTGCCAAAGCGCATCAAATTCCATCCCGGGAGTCTTTAGTTATTTTAAGTTAAAAAGGTACAATTCCATAGGTAAAAGTAACTATAACGAACATAATATTTAAAGATACAAGGACGAGTATATAGAACGAATATATTAATTGACGACCACGGAGGTCGTCAATTAATATATCCGAGTCGAGTGGTTTGTACGCCGGGTTTCATGGTGTCGCTGGCTCGAGAGGTCCCGGGTTCGAATCCTGGTGGGGGCAGATGTTTGTGTGCTGAGTACGAGCATTTGTACTCCTGTCATAGATGTTTAATATGTATTTCTATATTAATATACTTATAAATGTACTACATAATGTATTCTATCCGTTACCCTAGCATTCCATAACACAAGCCTCACAGTGCTTACTCCGGGGCTAGGCTAATTGGTAAGTGTAAAAAAAGGGGATTATTTATGAAACATTATTTCATTTCAAATATTTTTAATTATCTTCATCCATAATCACAGAGTCTAAAAAGAGAGCCGGTCTGTGAATATCGTCTTCATGTCTTGCTAGACCTAAAAACCATATGACCACCATAACATGAGCACAGCATCCTAAAGTGCGGTTTCCCGTTTTGCATGAGCAGTAATAATGTTTTAATGCGTTTATTCCATTCTCTTCTTCATTTATTAATATATAGGAGTAATAGAGCTTAGACCTCGTATGCCTCGAATGTATTTTTGCTCGCAAAAGCCACAGATTTGAACCATCAATACCAAAGTTGTTAAGCTCGGCAACGAGTAGTTCCGATTCTCTGTATAGGGATATGTTGAAGTGTCCGTCTCCACGAACGTGCTCACTGTAATAGCTTTTAGCTAACTTCAGCTGGTATGTGCCCAGTGCAAAAATAATAATATTGGCTTGATCCATAGATTTTTTATTAGCTCGTACGATTATAATGACGTACGCGATGATAATCGTGTTCCTATTTCTAAAGCGTGTTAGTTAAATATCAATGAAATAACAGGGAGTGCACAAAATGTAAGACATAGGACTGCATACGAGTAGACTAGTTGCAACGGCAACTGCAATATCACATCCTTCAACCCCCATACCCTGTTAGACGTTTTGAGGAGTCTCAGTAAGTGCAAGCAGCAAGCAAGCAGGATAGTCGGTAGGCTTTGTTGTTTAGTATTTTGTACAGTAAGATATGATTCACTCACTTATTATTGCTAATATTATAAAACGAAAGTACTATTATATTGAATGAATTTCTTTAGCTATTTAAATATCATCATCATCAGCCTCTTAATGTCCCCACTGCTGGGGCACAGGCCTAAACCTATGGATGGAATAGGGAGTGCGGGCCATGACCCCCCACGCAGGCCCAGTGCGGATTGGCGGGTGCTAACGACTGCAGATGCAGCCGGGACCAACGGCTTAACGTGCCTTCCGAAGCACGGAGGAACTCGAGATAGATGTTTTTGGTCACCCATCCAATGACCGACCACTGCGAAAGTTGCTTAACTTCAACGATGGCAACCGAACGCGCTAACCACCTGCGCCATCGAGCTTCGCTATAAGGAGCTATTTAAATATGCCCGTGTGTAACCGGTCCCCATGACTTACACACAAAGGTCGTCTATAAGGACTATGTGCGGAAACCTTAACCCCTAATATAGAACATACCCAGGTGTATATCTTTTGACCCCCAGGTTAATAATAAAAAAGGCTAGTTTTTCATAGATCTATCGATTCATACTAATTACATTGTTGGCGGAGCTGGGTGCGTTTTGCCCATTGTCCTTTGTTTAATTTATACACAAATCGGGACACCTGGCAACACAAGGCGAGAACTACTTGTGCTTTTTTTAAATGAAATAATGTTGGCGTATAACCTGTCCATTCTCAATGCCGTATAATATATACGGCATTGAGAACAATAATTTACTACGAATAAGAATACATATAAGCATAAGGTTAATTGCCTAAAGCAAACTAGTGTTCGGCCTACATAATTGTATCACAGTCGATTGGCATTTCTCGAGCATTGTCAGCGCAGCGGACAGATAATGGGGAGAAAATAAGTAAAGCGGCTCCCGAGAGGGTCGACGAAGGGACGATAATTACTGGACACATTTCTAGGGACGGATATCGGTCGTTGGTAGGCACAATTTGAGTGAAAGAAAGAACATTTATTTCTAAGTATTTACGAGGACAAGGCGTTGAAGAACTAAGTACTTATTTCTTTCTGCAATGGTTACTTCGTCAGATTAACGAAACCACTTTTTGTCTTTGACACATGCAATTTTTCGACGCTTGACGAACACTTATTCTGTTTAATATACTTCTGCATCTAAAATATTTAAAATCATCATCATCAGCCTATTAATGTCCCCACTGCTGGGACACAGGCCTTCCCTATGGATGGGTTAGGAAGATTGGGCCATGACCCACCACGCGGGCCCAGTGCGGGTTGCTGGGTGCTAACGATT